ACAGGAGGTGCCATCATAAGGGGCTTTGTCAAAATCTCTCATGAGGTCGAGCATGGTCATTTAACTTCCTGTTCCTCTGAGGCCTGGGGACTTTTGAAGAAGTAATATTCAGCATCTGATGTATGACAGTTGGTCGAAACCTGTCAGTGAGGAAGAAAGATGAAACCCCGCCTCCCAGAGTTCTTGGGGGAAATGCGCAGCCCGTGTGCATTTCCTGTCTCAGTACCTGGCACATGGGAACCCAATATTAGTCCCCTTCTGCCCACTCTGGCTGAAAATGCAAACGTTATCTAGGAAACAGCACATTACAGCATCATAAGTGAGTATACATTCATTTATAGGATGTATTCACGTATCAAAGCCTAAAGCAATGGGATCAGAGCAAGAAAGTTCGCGCGGGGGGTCCAGGAAGGCCCTTAAAGTTTCCGGCTTGGGTATCCCCATAATGAAAAGTACTGAGGTGTTGGAAGGAGGGGAGACTTTGAGCTGAGGCGTGGCCTCAGCAGGCTGGACGCAGGCGTGGAGGGCGGCACTGTGGGCTTGAGGGAAAAGCCTCACCTGCGCCACCTGCAGGACAGATCGAGCGGTGGCGGACCAGCAGGACCTGGAGGCTGATTCCCAGGCTTTGCGATTCTTGCTGCATCATCACCAGTCAACCTAAGAGCTATTTTCTTCTTTGGGTAAAACAACAAAAGCTTTCTGCTTTGAGAGTTTAGTTCCTGGGGAACAAGTAAAGAAAAAAAATACTTACCTGATGATATTTTTCATACCTTTTTCTATCAGCAAGTTTCTCTGAGTGACTTTGTACTATTCAAAAATAATCCATTTAGATCTAACCCAGTTAAGAGTATGAGAAAAGGGAACACACTTTGCGCATCGTCCACAGCACTGCTGGGTGGGGAGGGCTCAAGTGTAAACAGTGTAATAGAGGCACCAAGAATGTCCCCTTTGTCATTGGAAAATTGGTAGAAACAGACCAATGTGTGATTGATGCCATCGCTCTTTCAACCACGGAAGTTGCTTTTAAGAAAAAAAAAACAAATATAAGTTGTTTGTTGAAGCTCAGGCTTATTATAAGTATTCATTATAAATGAGAAATGCTTTCTCAATGCATGGAAATACACACACACGGAATCATAGTAGATAAAATTATTACACAAAGATAGCATATACACATGCCAATGATAACATAAAAACACTTTATGTCATTGATAGAAGAAAAATCAAAGCAATGAAGTTGACTTAATACTTATTGAGTTTCCGATGATCTTACAAATTTGTAAAATTTTTCTCGGTAAATAGTGTCTTCCCACACATGTACATTTAAGGTACATTTAAGATGAGTTTCCTGAGAACATAAATGCTCAAGAGGCATAAGCAGGAGTCGGCAAGGGAGATCTTAATTTGCATATTTCCTGCCTTAAATGCCTGCACTGTCTTGGGTATAAAGTTGCGTTAGTAAGGCTTTTAGTGTTTAATGTGATATGACTTAAACGGTCTCTTTTTTCTAGGGTCTATAAAACCTTTGCTATTAATGGCTGTTACTTCTCATTTTTATCTACCAAATTTACTAAGGAAGTAAAAATATATCGAGGCTCCCATTTGTCTGCTCAAATCTTTTTTGTTCGCTGGCAATAAACTTCGCTCTTCTTAAACCTGGGACGATCCACTTGCAAAGGGACACTGGGTGACTCACCCTAACCGTGGAGCTTGACATAGTGCAGGCCTTCGACTCATCGGCCTGCTTATCACTGTCTTTGATCCTCCAGGCAGCCCTGTGGGACGAGGTGGGGTACAGTTCACAGCCGCTGGAGACACGGAAACCGAGACAGTGGCGAAGCCTCCTCTTCCCTGACTTTGCACAGCTAGGAGTAGTAAAACCCCACCGTAACACCATAAATGAAGTCTAGTGCACTTCGCCAGGAAGGTGCAGATTTGCATTCTTTCCATGTTGTAATCACATAACCAGGATAAACCCATGCAGCTGACCGACCTTCCTGGGCCCTCCAGGGCTCCGGCTGCAGGGTGCAAACCCACCCTCATCCCAGCTATAATTAAGTCAGCACCACTCCAGCTAAAATCTTGACAGGGACGATTCCAGGGCTGGTTGGGGTTTCTTGGAGAGCAGTAAGGAGTCCAGGATTCTCCCAGTTACTTAAAACCCTTTCTTCGGGTTGACCCAGAGAGACTAAGCTGGGAGAATCCTGGGGACATGGAGACCCCACTTCCCTAGACAGGGATGCTGGCCGTTTCCTCACCCGCCCTACCCCTCCCTCGACACGCCCTCTTCTCCCACTGGGAAGGTAGGAATTGTATCACCCACCCCCGTTGGAGAATGGGGGCCGGACGGAGCATGGAACCCACTTCAATCTAACGTGTCGTATCTGAACCATGGAGTTTTAGTGTATTTGCGGAGCCAGATAGAGAAGTCAGCTCTCCTGGTTCCTGGAGCAAAGCCTTCTCCCTACTTTGCTGGCACACCGCCGTCCCCTCCATCAGTATTCCAGGCTGCAGAGGGTGTCAGGCACACCTCCCTCTGCCAGCAGAGTTCTCGCCCAACTCCCTCCTGTGGAAGAGAGAGCGGACCCTTCCAGAATGAGAAGCCTAGTCCCATACCCGCCTTCCCAGATCTGGGGTTATTACTGTGCGCATGTCTGAGAAAAAGGGGTGAGGTGTGGGGGAGTGCCGTATTGTTCTGTAAACGTTTAATATGTTTTACAGGTTGCTGGCTTACTTAACACAGCTCATAAATTCTGCCTGCATCCCACCAGCCACCTGCTTATTCATTATCTCGGTTTAACACATCTTATGAGTTTCATCTATTCTGTTTGTTTTTCTTGTCTTCTGTAGCAGAATTGAATATTCTCAAATCCTACAGCAAACACATAAGCAGAAAAACCTAAGGGAAAAAATGAGATTTAAAAAAAAAAAAAAAGCCACAGAGAAAACATTCGATTTATAGTGGCAGGGGAAATACAAACCAAAACAGAGAGTAGCTGAGTCACAGTAATGGTGGCATTTTGAGCAGAAAGCGGTGGGCACGTCCTGCAAAGGGGTGACGCGGTCCCAGTCACTGGACTTCCATGGTCCTCGACCTTGAAAGTCCTTGCCCCCTTTGGATGAACATGAAAACCTCAACATTTCTTTAACGTTATTTTAAAATTAAAAACTAATTAAAGATATTATCTAAGGGCAAATCACTTCAGAGCAACCATAGCATCGAATACAGGTTTTCAAGCAGCATTTGGCCCTGACTCTTGCTTGCTTCTGCTTCCGCTCCCAGGGGGTCCTCACCTGCCTCCTACAGAGAATTTGACTCTGGAAACTGTGAAGGAAGAATACTCCACGCTTCTCTCTCATTAACTACTTGAAAATGTATCCTCGTTGTGTGTGGTTTTTTTTTTTTCTAATTACAAAGAAGTACATGTTTGTTAAAATAATTCAAACATTGTAGTGATACAATGTAGTCAAGAGCACATAGCGGAGATGACACCATATACCTGAGATAAACTGCTTCCTGCAGCCAGGCACTGAGGTTTCCTGTCAGCCAAGGCAAAAAGGGAACATCGCCTTTAAGAGTTTTTATCCAGACCAGGATTCCCAGGTGACATACAGGACACCCAGTTAAATTCGAATTAAATAATTTTTTAAAAATTATTTAAAAAAATAATTTTTTAAATGTAAGTATGCCCCAAACATTTTGCGGGACACACTTATTCTAAAGACTGTTCCTTACATACCTGAAATTTACATTTTTGCATATTCATTTTATAACTGTGATAAAGTACACGAGATAAAATTTACCATTTTAACCGATTTTAAATGCACAGTTCAGTAGTGTTAAGTATATTCACAGTGTTATGCATCCAATCTCTAGAACTTTTTTATCTTACAAAACTGAATCTATATACTGATTCAACAGCAACTCCCCATTTGCTCCTAACCCCCACGCCTCGGCAGTCTCCTTTCTACTTTCTGTTCCCATGACAACTCTAAAAACCTCATGTAAGTGGAATCATCCAGTACTTATCGTTTTGTGAAACTGGCTTATTTCACTTCGTATACTGTCCTTAAGTTTCATGCATGTCATAGCATGTGTCTGAATTTCCTTCTTTTTTTAAGGCTGAATAGTATTTCATTATATGTACACACCACATTTCGTTTGTTAAAAGTCAAATGTAACGGGGTCATTTGGGTGTTAAATCCGGCAACCCTATTCTGAAAACATCAGTCCAGATAAGCTTTTCCTAGAAATTAGACCAGACCAGAGAAGTTTATTCCAAAGAGGATTTATGAAAGAAATAGTAAGAGGACACAGCTGGCAACATTCTTCTTCTCTGATTTTGCACAAGCCATAGAAATGTGGTTCGGTGAATCCTAATTTTGTCAACAGGCTGAGTCAGCAGTTCTTGAACTGGAGTTTGAGCAAGAGCTGCAGGAAGTCTGTGAGCGCTTTGAAATCACAGGCCATGCTGAGTGTATGTACGTCTTTGTGGGGAAAGGAACCAGAATTAGATTCTCAACGGTATCTGAGACCCCAAGGAAGTCAGGAGGCACCATCTTGTCGACAAGAGCATAACTTTGAATTCAGACAGCAGTTTTGCTGGGGACTTGGGTATTATTACTTTTCAGACAATCGATTTCCTGAATGTCTAAACTAAAATAGGGAGAAAATCTCAGCATATTTAAAAGAGTAGCAAGTTCATCCATCTACTGAAACGTCCCTTCCAAATGAGGGTTGAGTATGAGCTGTCACGTGTTCTGCGTCTTTCACAGAAACTGAATGGAAGCCAGTTTGTGAGTGATAGTGATCTTTATGAATTTTCTGGTGATGGGGAAAGTTAAGAGGCATGTGCTTAAAATGCCGAAGTCCCTTGAAGAGAGAGATTAAGAAAGAGAGCGAGAGAGTGAGACAGAGAATAACGCCTAGGCCATGGATAATCTTACTGCCTGTAGAAAACAAATGCCTTTTAATAATCCCCACTTTATTTTTTCTTTAGAAATCCTTCTTCAATTTACCAACAGCTCTTACCAACGAGCTCAACTGGCCCCAACTCTCTGGTGCAACTGGATTTCTGAACGGGTATGTATGTTTGCACACCCTCGAACCCTTCAATATATCTCTGTACAAACAGACCAGGAGATGAGGCTTGCTCCCAAGATACTGAGATGGGAATTATTAGGAATTGCTTCTAGAACATGAGTGACATACAATAAACCCACCGCTGACCTAAAGCCCGCCATACAGCGGGATGGACTACAGACTGTATTTCATCGGTGCTGGCAAGGAGGAAATATTCCTGCTACCAAGCCTAGGTTGACCTCTGATGGGAAATATACACATCACTAAACTTTTCTGATTCAAGGGACAGAGATGTTTACTTGATGATTTGCTCTCGAGAAATGAATATTTATAAAGGTAATGGCTAAAATTAATAGGCAAGGCTCAAAGTCCTGGCTTTTATGCTCTAGTTTTGAAGGGAGGGACAATGCATGGAGAGTCTAGTGTCACATAAATCAACTTGCTGTGTGTGACTGGGTGTTGACTCGGGGCCTGGGAACAGCCATTCATAATTTTAGCACCCCATTTTTTATTTAGTGGGGGATATCGCATATGATGAATAATTTAATTCTATCTTAACTCGCTTATTTTAAAAGCAGTAGTTATTAAATACTTGCTACCTAATCAGGCACAGATGCTATAGATGTTTTAAAGATAAATAAGGCTTGTCCCATCTCTACAGCCAATTACAATCAAGTAGGACAGATGAGATAAATGTACAAACGATGATAATACGAGACAAATGCGCCAAAAGACAGCTCTCAACACAGAGCCGCAGGGTTTGCTGGAGAAAGAATTCATGGAAATCATCCACAGCCACTTCCTTTTGGGGTGTTAGGCAAGGGGCCCAAATTCTAAAGGATTTAGGAGATTGGGGGTGAGGAAAAAAGTAGAGACGAAACTAGGGAAGATAACCAACCTTCAGGAAATTTTACTCCCATTTATGTAGGAATCACCTGTGAACATAGAGAAAGCAGAGCAGATGCATTATCAAGATCGGGTGTGGGTTTTCAAATTTAATCACGTAAAAACAGTTAGGCTAGTCCTTGGCATTAGTGCAGTAACATCGACAATACCGATAATAGTAAAAGTGACTGACGAGGCCTTCACTCTATGCCAAGCACTTCACTGAGTGTAAGGTGGAGAGTTTCCCATCCCAACTCCTTGTGAGGTAGGTGGTTTTACTTTCTACTTTCTGCGGTTGAGGAAGGTTAAACGGACAAGAAACTTGACCACGTTCACACATTAATAAGTAGTAGAATGTGTTGTCATCTTGGACCAGAGAATAATTCAGTGAGTAAGGGACTCTAGCCCACACCTCCCAACCTTTATGTGCGTTGAGTTCTGCCTGCCTAATGTGGCTCCCGGTGGCCATCGTCCCTTAGTTCAAGAGCGTAGCTGTGGGATGGGAAATGGCCAAGAACCGGAGAAGGCTTTCCCACGCAGAGCTGTGGCACACACTGTATCAGAGGTCGGTCCTGTGTCTGTCCTCGCTCCTAAGGTCCCCATACTCCCAGCAGCCTGGGACCCTCAGGGCCCCATCCTCAGCCTGTCTTCCCTCAGCCACACTGGCTGTTGTTTTTTGTCCCCTGGAACACATCCAGAGATAGCCCGGCTAAAGCGGCATTCTGGAAGAGAGAGTTTTGTTTCTCTCTCTGCCGTCAAAATCGAAATTGAGAAAATAATATTTACGTGCCCTTCCACCCAAATCCAGCGATGTGCAAAGACACCTGGAAGTTTCTCTAAATCAAGGTCGTCATGGCAATAACAGAAGGAATTTGTTGTGAATGAGAAATGAACACAGTTCATTGTACTTTTAATGATGCTTACATTTACTTATAAACCCTATGAAATTCAGCCACCTTTTGACCTAAAAGCCTCACAAAGTTGCCATAGAGGAAATACCAGCCTGATGTTTAAAATTGATTGCCAAATAGTTTAAATCTTCACTGGCATGGTACAAGGAATGGAGGAAGAATCCACTTACCAGGCCCCGCTACACTGCTGAAAACCCGTTTCCTCATCTCTGTCCACTTACAGCTCACAAAATCGTTGCCCCACGACTAAATCTAATTGTTCCAAGAACTCTGCCCAAACTCAGCTCCTAGTCCCAGGCAGCCTCTGCTCAGTTGGTTTCAGTTTTTGTTGGGGCACGGCAAGGGGAACAGTCCCCCTGTTCCTTTCTGCATCCGTTCTGTCCTCAGACCAGGGGGTGACTCCCTTACGGATGTGAAATCCCACTAGCCCTCCAGTCCTGTGGCAGTTTCCACCGGTCATCCCATCCGAGCCCAGCAGGCAGACAGCTCTTCCTTAGAAGAAAGGTCATGGGATGAAAGGGAGGGGAGGAGTTGCAAGTCTTCAGACACGTATGGTTTAAAATTTTCTGTGAAAATCATCTCTATCCCGAGCTGGTCTGTGCCGATTTAGCATCTTCTTGGATCCAGCTCTCTATTCCTATTTACAAAAATGTGCAACCTGCCCTGCAACTAGCTAAGTGTTAACTCAAGTATTGGCCTGATCTGTTGTGTCTCTGAGGAGGTGCATACCGTTCGGGGCCCGCACGTTCTCTCTGTGTGTTTGTGGGGCCCCAAGCTCTCCGCCCACTTCTGTGTACTGTGCCTGCGATTCTTCGCCACGGGGCTGGCATGGGGAAGAATACATTCAACTCCTTTTAATAGGGGTTGTAAGCACGTGTCCCTGTGAGTCCAAATGCTTGTTAACGTGGGGTAGAATTTAGGGATTTCTCTATTCAGCTGGATCTCTAGAAAGTGCCTCCTATTATTTGAGTTCAGCCATGTGCTTTGTTTACAGTGTCCTTTAAAAAAATGCACCTTTGGAAAGTAAGAAGATGCAGTTTGGGAGAGAAGGCGATTGCTTTCCTCTCTTCCATTACACCCATCGTCCCCTCAAAATGCAGTATCTACTTTATGAGATGAACGTAGAGAAATTGAAATCCCACGCGTGCATTAAAAACAAACATAAGCCTTAGTCTGACAAATCTCTATGTTCTTCAGTTCAAGTGACATCGATAAAGGCTGTTGTTCTCTTGACTCTCGGGGCTTCAGAAAATTCAAAAAGCAATAGCCCTTAAAACCACACGTTTTGTTGTGTGTCCCCCTCCCCACCCCACCCCCATGTGATTCAGAAAGCAATTAATTTAAGTTGGTCCAAAATGAAAAAAAAAATCCCTCTCTGAGGTTGGTACCTTGGGGGCTGGAAGCCTGGCAGTACAGAGGAGAACTATAAGTGAGAAAAAATATACATATTTTTTAAAGATTAAAAATAGTACTTCGTGCTCAGATCACCTTCGAAAGCAATTAACTAACAGGAAAATTCCACTGAAGTTGAAGAAGCAAGGCGCAGGAACACGCGGAGAGGGGCGGGGACCAACACCCAGCCGCAGGAAGGGAGGACCGCTAGTTTAAAAGCCACGGCATCCGCGGTTCCGAGCCCCGGGCGTCGCGGCCGCAGTGGAGGAGGAGGGAGGCCGTTTGCCGGTGAACGGGTCCTGGTTCCGCGTGGCCTCCAGTGGGACGTTTAACGTCTCCGGACCTCGCTTAGATGATGCAGTCGCGTTGAGCCTGGCGATCTCCGGCGTTCTCACCAATGTTCAATGTTCCAGTTGAGCGGTTATAGGGCAACGTGATGTTAAAGGCCGCATCCTACTTGATGCTGCTGCTTGATTTAGAAGCTTTGGAGGGAGCGCCCCAGCAAACGTGCTTTTCTCCACTCCTTAACTAGCAGCGCCTCGAAGCAAGACATGGCTAATTTGATGGGCTTGGAACTGTTCTAGGAATCGCGTTTCTCTAGAGCCAGGGCTTCTGTGCAGTAAAGGTCGAGCTCATGCCGGGTGGGCCCTGCACTGTGTGATGTCAGGGGCTCCATCAGCTGTTAATTAAAGTGGATGATCCATCGTTGTCTTTTATGTGTACTATTTCCTCCAGGCAAACCCCAGGGAGGGAAACAGGTGACTCCAAATCCTTAACAAAAATAGCCCCCTGGACCCGACCATATCAAACCTCGGCATTTGTGATTGTCCAAATCCCCTTCTTCTGAAAATGGTTAGAGGAAAGTGGTTACAGGTGCTTCAAAGCTGGGGGGCAGGGGGGCAGGGAGGGAAAACAGAAAGTAAGTAAGAAGCAGAAGTTAGCCATAAAAAGTCACGAAAGCCAGAAGAACCAAAGCAATACCAAAATTACCATGCCAAGCCGGAGGGAAAAGAGTGAGACCGGTGGCTGCAAACCAGATGGAACTTTCTAGAGGGCATGTTGCTCCTTCCGCCTCCGGCTTAAATCTGCTCTTTTGGGCCAGAAGCATAGCAAACTGTTAGAAAGAAATAGACAAAGACATCGTTCTAAGTGGCACAGTAATGCTGTTTGGGCACACCTCAACACACGTCTTTGATGAGGTCGCCTAGAATCTGAGTGTGAGAGGTTATCTATTCTCTCCCACCCAGTAGACGTTTGATGAGAGGACCGTTTTTGAAAAGCAGAGTATAACTGCAAACCAAGTCACTGGGGGCATTAAAAACAGAAAATTGGAGAGAAGGGATTTGCAGCTAAGATTTGCTAACCTAATTTCATATTAAAAAAAAAAAAAAAAAGACATGTAAGTACTAAATGCTAATGGGCTTAATAACCTTATTAAATACATTATTCAAAAATTGCATGCGATATCATGGCAAATGATTAGCCACCTTATAATTATGCTTTGCAAAACAAACAATTAGCCAGATAGTTGGTCGTTTGAAGTTGGGTGAGGCTGATGATAGAGCGGGATAGAGTCCACATCGGGATTCTCCAAGTGTGGTCCATGGGCCCCCTGTGAGCAAGGGGGTGCCTCTGAGACCCTTGCAGAGGGTCCATAAGGGAAAAACTATTTTCACATCGATACTAAAACTATTTGCCTTCTGCACCGTATAGCCATTTGTGCTGATGCTGCTCAGGCAACGGTAGGCAAGGCCGTAGCACCGACCATGTGAGCGGTGGCCGCGGCCCCCATACGCTCCTGGCGCAGAAGAG